TTATATAAAACATATTAAAAATAACATATTACAAACATATTAATAACATATTAAAAATAAATACGTTTAATTTTATAAATACGTTTAAAAATATGTTTTGTTATATATATATATATATAAATTTATTAATTACCAAAAATTTGAAAAAAAATATTTTTTTTTTGCAAAGGAACGGTCGTAACCGATTATGGGACCGGAACCGGGATCGGACGGCGTAACCGGTTATGGGCAAGCTTGACCGGTTATAGTGTTTTTCATCGGAACCGGGACCGGTTATAGACGGTTTTTGTCCCGATTAGGACCGGCCGTAACCGGTTAAGGCCCGGCCCGAGACCCATTTTTGGCCATCTGTAGTTAGAACTATTGTAAAATGATTAATTATATAATCTGCCGGAAATCCGTCCGTGGAATAATTTTACCGGTGGATTTCCGGCAGAAGTCAACAAAAGTTGAGGTTTTTTGTTGTCTGACGATAATCCGTTGGAAATCCACAGGTAAAATTCAATATATATATTTTTTATCAGAAATACCCAGTTTTCTAATAATATAAGAATTGGATTGATCAGGTTTATATAATCTACATAGGATTCACTTCCATAACCCAATGGGTTTTCTTAATTGCGTATCTTGTTTGCCATGTGGAAAGAAATGGAACGGGGCCTCACCCTATTTTTGGTGCTCATATATTGGTGCAAATCACATGCACATGTGAATACGTTTTAGTAAAAAATAGAAAGAAAAAAAAAGTACACTTTGTGAGAAAAATGATATGTTTTAAAATACTTTTCTAGCCATACATTGGGTATTTTGTTTAAAATAGTATCCCCCTTTTAACAATCCATGTATAAACATCAAAATTTAAAATCATGTCTAAAATGAAAAAAATAACGTACTTTAACTTGATTCCTATTTTGGTTAATGTATTTTCAAACTTCTATTTTGGTACCTAAGCTGTAAAATTTTAAAAATTTAAGTTCTCGGGTAACGGTTGAAGTATTAACTGGTTACCATGATGATGTGACGAGTGATGTGGTATCCGGTTAATGTTTCAGCAAGTAATACTGAGTTGGATATCACATCACTCAATACATCAGCATGGTAACCGATTAATGCTTCAAACGGTTACTCGGGTACTTAAATATTTAAAACTTTATATCTTAGGTATCAAAATGGAAGTTTTAGATACCCATAATAGGAATCAAGTTAAAGTACGTTATTTTTTCATATAATTTATCATCAAAGAAAATATAAGTTGGACAATATAT